GTGGTGTGGAAGTGGAAATGCAGGACGTCGAGATGCAAGATGTGGATGAGGTTGAGGAGGAGGAGGTTCCGGAGGAACCCAAGAAGGAAAAGAAGAAGAAGAGTAAGAAGCACTAGTCACGGCCAGTAGTTGTTGATCTTTGTTGTATGTATGTTACTTGCCATGAGGTGTTTTTTGTGTCATTTGAGGGTTAGCATAGGTTTTTGGCGTTTAATATTCCAAAAAAGGATGGTGTAATGTTGCATCTTGTGAGTTTTGCACTTGCGAAAGTATCATAGATGGCGAAGAATAAAATAGTTTTCAATATTGGATTCTCTGCTCTGCTCTAGATTGATGTGATGGATTTTGAACGGGCGTTGTTACCTGTGGACGCCTTATCTCAAGACTTGTCGATCGGAAATGAAATGTACTCCAGGAGAAACGGTAAAGTTTACTTTCACCCTACTCAGAGCAAACCGTCAAATCGACAATCAAACTCCACCCACCAGTCAACATCCCACGGGATCCATCCCCAGTTCAGCTCCAACATCCAAGCATCTCGCCTACACATGTCTAACCTTCCATCACTAATCGGTACTTCGACCGTCTCCCCGCCCCTCCCAATGGCGTGACATTCCCCCATCGACCCATAAGGCTGACACTTGTTGAACCCCCCACATGAATGACGAACCCCCCCATCGCACTCCAGCCCGCTTCTCGCATCTTCCCGCGTACCTCAACAAAGCCTCGAATCGAGCGATTGTCTCAGCTATGCGCACAGGGGGGGGGGAAACATCTCACTCTGCATAACAACCACGTATCTCGCAAAAGGAAAAAAAAAGAGAAAAGAAAAAAACAAGGTCTCATAGCACACATGTGTGAATGTATGTGAAGTCCGAAAATATTCTTTCGCTTGAATACGCCTTGTCCAAATCCCAACACCCTTACTCCGGCCAAATAGATGAAACGGAGGAATTAAGATACTTTTTTTTACATATATATAGCTAACGCACGCATTATTGCTTACGCCCTACGGAACCCCCCTCCCCTTCCAAGCATCAGGAGAAGAATGCCAGTCCAGGCCCCGTGATTTGGAGCGCCTCTCCGCGCGGGCGCGCGACGCAACAGCATGCAAGTCTGACGTTTTGGGCCCCAGAATGCGGGGCAAATAACAAGACAATATTGCAATATGTATAGTAATGTAAGAGGTATATACTGGGCTGACAGGGCGTGTGTATGTGTCACCATTTCTGTGTCACTTTTCCGCGGGGCGAACGAAGAAAGATGGGGATTGGGGCGGGGCGGATAAGGTTAGGGAAGGAGGGAGATCGAGCGATACACGCTATGGTGTTGTTACTTTTTTGGGGGGGCTACTAGGGGAAATGGGAGAGATAAGGTGGAGAGGTAGAGGGTTGGTTTTGGTTGGATGGAGGGGGAGTTAGTGGGGTAGAGGAAATGTGGTATGACGATGAGTGGGAACTTGGGATAGTTAGAGTGACTTGTTGTAAGTGATCAATCTGTGGGTTTTTTGGAGACGGTTGCTGGGTGTAACGGCGCACTATGCGGTCTATGTTGCTTCCTTTTTTTTCTTAATTTTTTTCTTTCCGTCTAGAAAGTAGTTCATATGTTGTGAACCAGAATGCCAAGTCAACGGCAAAGTAGTACCCGAGTTTCGGATTCGTATTCTTGCGGTTTGGGGGTTGGGGTTGCCCAGGGACGGACGACGCGCGCGTGTTTGGCAGGTTGGGTTCGTTACGGAACCAGGTCCTCAACAAATCGAGCGAGGTTGAGCGATCGTTCCCAGAATGCCAAAACGCCGTTTGTTCGTTTGCGCTTCGCTTACGTAGCCTTGTTGTCTTGGCCATGTACACCTAGGACCAATAACCCACTTTTGCATGACCGCATGAAAACAGACTATTTTTCTCTCTCTTCGATCGCATAGAGCAAGAGAGAGGGCAAAGTGGCGTGGACATGGGTGGGTGCGACCGTAGCGCCAGATCCTTCCCGACATACCGCCCTGCATGCGAAGGAAAGCCGATTGTCGAGGTATCTCGGTGATGGAAGGGCTGACTTGCCGCGGCTCGTTGGGTTGACTTGCTCGGCAGCAGCTGAATGTGGATATCCGATTTTTTTTTCTCTCTCTCTATCGTTGGTAGTCCAAAGTCATGTGATAGAGGTAGTGCATAGAAACACAACGCAGCATAGCACAAGAGATAGGGAATAAGAGATAGAGAAAGGGCCGAAGACAATTGGCCGTTTTGGCCTCTGATCCCAGATGCGAGTCGCAGTAGTTGAAAGATGCATGGGGCTGGAATAGGTAGGTGCCTATTATTTGCACGTCTTTTCGCAATGGACAGTTAGGCCTCGACCCGACATTCCCCCCTCTGACCCACGAGCCGAGATCTTACTACTTACTTCCCAAGAAAAACAGCCATGTATGTAAAATAGGAGGGACTCCACTTTCACATGCAATCGTGTTGCCTGTTGCCCATTCCAAGGGCTGGCATAGGCCCTTGAATCCCAGACGCGGGAAACAAGGCAGCTCAACGATGTTCTCCACCGAATTGCAATGGCAGATGCACAGCACCGTGCTGGCACTAAGAGCTGTACGGCCAGAGTACCCGTGGTGGCAACGTATGACGGAGCAGGCGCCCGAATGCGATCAATGGCAAGGGTGGGCAGGCAGGCGCAAGGGAAAGAAACTGCGTGATAAGCCAAAGACGTTTTCAATCATGTGAGGTGCAAATGGCAGAGTAAGAGAAGATGTCGGAAGGCAAGGAAATCCTGCTTCTACTAATTTAGAACAGCATGGAGTTGCTATACCTGGTGTAAATCTCACGAGCCAGGGCAGCCAAGTACGCGCGGGACCAGGGATTTATGGGCCGACTTTTATCTGACGTCGCGCGCGGGTGGTCCGGCTTGGATTGGCCAGCGCGTTTTCCTTCGCCCTGTCTTTCACATGTCAAAAGACGAGACAGAGAGAGAGACAGAGACAGAGACAGAGCTCAAAGAACCCAGCCCCGAACACAACTTGCAGCGCTGCGACACGCAGCTCCTGAAAATATATTCAATTTGTGCAATATCGCTTCAAATATACAATTGGCCCGGGGATAAAAAGGGGGAGCGAGCATGTGTAAGACCTACAGTGCAAGCGACAGGCTGCATCGGGGATTCTTGACTTTGGGCCCTGTGTAACAAATGGCTTGCATTCGTCACTCTAACACTTACGCATACGCATCGGCACTTCTCTATCTTACTCCTCTTTTCTCAACATTGCGCATGCGGATCCCGCGCCCACCCAAGGCAGTGGCAGCGAACAATGGAAGGTAGAGGGGAAAAAAACCGGGGCGGCGAAAACACGGGCGTAGGGGGGGGGTTGTGCATTGGCCGTTGTTTTGGCATGCGCGTGGGCATCGAGTTACAGTAGCGGATACGAAGGGGGAGGTTGATAAAGAAATGATTTGACGGATTGGTGGTGGCCTATCGATAAGGGCACTTTCACATGCAACTGCACACCCGTACTCGTGCTCCCAGCTCCCACCTCATCCGCACACAAGCCACGCCGTTTTTAGCAAGGTCCCGCCAACCAAAGCTCAGTCACATCATAGTAGCGGCTGGGTCATTATAATAAGGCGAAGAGAAACCCCTTTGCAGGTTTTGCTTCACTTTATTTGTTCCTCTCTCTCTTTCTCCATCCATCCATTCCGTTGCCCCCTCATTGCGGCTCAACAAGAACATAGCAGCAAGCCCCCCACCTTCACACCTCGTTCTACACGGAAACAAACTCCTCCAGCCAATGGCACCACACGCAACTGACGACGGCAACATGGCAACCAACGGCGTCCCTCTCACCAACGGCGACGTGCCCACCTCCAGAATCCTCTCGGTACGTCATACTACTGTCCCCAGTGCGCCACCATCCCACGCCACGCACACACACTAACACACCTTCAGCACCTGAACTCGTACCCCGTCGTGCACGACAGCGTCGAAACATTCAAGACACATCCCTACGGCGAGCGCGCCCTCACCCTTGCCAGCAACACGTACAACAACGTCGTCGCGCCCCTGCACCCCTACCTGCGCACCCCTTACTCCTACATCTCGCCCTACCTCGCCCGCGCCGACCAGCTCGGCGACAGCGGCCTTTCAACCCTCGAGTCGCACCTCCCCATCGTCAAGGAGGACACACAGAAGCTCAAGCAGTATGCCTACTCGCCTGTCAACTATGTCCATGGCGCCTGGCAGGACGAGTATAACAAGACGCATTATAACAATGGCGTCGTCAAGATGGGTGTTGCCGCCGTTAGCTTTGAGCTCAGGATGATTAGCGATGCTTGTGATGTTTTCCTTGCTTACCTTAACAAGGGCAAGGAGCAGGCCAAGAAGAAGACTGAGGAGGTTAAGCAGTAGAAAGTTTTTCTTACGACACCTTCTTCATCTTCTTCTTCTTTGTTTTTTCCAATCTCGGATTTTTCAAAGTCTTTTATGGGCTTTGCGCGGTAGCTGGGCCTATTTCATGGGAAAAGCGAAAGCGTTTGGTTTTGAGAGTTTTTTTTTCTCCATGTCGTTGGCGGTGACAGATCTTTGTTCGTCCATTTTGCTGGAGTGTGTGTATGTCCCATTTTTGGGTTGCAGGTAGATTGAGTAATAACTATGATATCCCTTTTCTGAGAGACTAGATGAAGATGCCCGAGGAGATGACATGGGTGTAATCGATACTTCGGACCTTTGCCTTGACACGATTCAAGCCTTCATCTGTCATCCCCATATGATGACGTTCGTTTGCATTGAACTTTAAAAGTCAGTCACAATACATAGTCTCATTGGTTCCGTAGCATCCTAGTATCGCATCATCGTAGAATCGTTCGATAGGGCAGTTGAAAAAACGAATAGGACATGGGCGTGGCACTACAACTATCAGCATCACCCAACGCATCACGTCAACACCCAACAACCTAAAATAACAAGGCCAACGTGGAAACTCATGTGCATTTCATGAAGTTCGTGAATTGAGCCGGATGCCGGATTTTTCATGCTTTGATTATCAAGCCGATATACACGCCATGATGCCAGGCCGGATTTTGGGGTCCTGTCATCTTATGATATCCACCGACATGCTCATGCACAATCTTCCGTGCCAAATCATGCCCATCTGCGCCCAGCCGTGACCAAAAAGGGAAAGCTTAGAACTGTAAGGGAGTGAAGAACCATCGGTTCTTTCCGGACTGGTATCGCTCCTCGAATGCCTTCTTGACGGTCTTCTTGGCCTCCTCCCGTTGCGAGACCTCCTTGAATGTGTCGGCAGAGATGACGCCCTTGAGGTTCTCGAGCTCAATGGTGTAGCGGGTGGGCATGATGTGAGTGTCTGCTACTGTTAGTACCTGCTCCTCCGACCAGCCTCACTTCCACATACAGTTGACCTGCTTGACGAAAGGCTTGACCTTGCTCTTCTTGGCCTGCTTGGTCTTTGACATGCGGCGGGTGACCTTGGATGGGTAGGTCTCGATACCGGCAACGAGGGCGTGGGGGAAGGGGTGCGACTTGGTGCCGTTGTCAAGGGGAGAAATGATCACACACTTCTTTCCGGCATAGCGGCCCCGGGTGATGATCTAGGCGGACTGTAAGTGAGTGTAGTTGAGCGGGTTCGAGCGATTCTAACGTACGACAACGCGTCCGACCTTGAGGCTAGAAATGATATGTTAGCAGCTGTTCTGTCGCATGTTGCAGATTTTCCCAGGTGCAGGCATTGGCGCCCCGGAACACGTGTAGACGAGCATCGCGGTGCGCCAACATGCATGCCGGGAGAAATCGTGCGTAGGTTCGAGGAGGCACTCACAACTTCATTGTGGCTGTCGTCCGGGTTAGTGATGGGATACTTGGTCGTGGAGTTTGAGGTTGTCGTCAAAGCCAAAAAGCGCTGTGGGCGGTCTCGCTAGATCTTTTGGCCGGTGCCGCCACGCTAACCTGGCTAGCGGCGCTGCTGGTTGGCTGGCCCCACCCTTGCCTCTAGAAATCTCGCAGACCCGCCAAAAGTTTCGCGACGGCGACTCTGGACGACCTGGACAGCGACGACAAGCACAATGAAGATCAAAGCCCTCAGCCGGTCCACTGCCTCGACACAGGCGCCTGGATCGAGTGTTTCCAAGGTCACTCGGAATCTCGATCCCAACCAGCACCCGTTCGAACGCGCGCGAGAATATACAAGAGCTCTCAATGCGACAAAAGTCGAGCGCATGTTTGCGCAACCTTTTCTAGGCAGTTTCGAGCCCGGACATGTCGATGGTGTATACTCTTTTGCAAAGGACCCGAACTCCCTCGAGCATTTCGCCAGTGGCAGCGGTGATGGCATTGTAAAAGTTTGGGACTTTACAAGCAGAGAAGAGAAATGGCAGGCACAAGCGCACGAGAACCTCGTCAAGGGCATGTGCTGGACACAGGACAAGAGGCTGATAACTTGCGGTTCTGATCGCCAAATCCAAATGTTCGAACCTTATGCCCAGCCATCTAGGTCGCCACCCAAAGCAACCTGGCACGGCAATTCAGCCTTTACATCCGTCACACACCATCGCTCGCTGCCCACCTTTGCTGCCGGTTCTAGCGTCATTTCCATATACGACACATCGAGAACTTCTGGAGCTCCAGTATCAAGCCTCGTATGGCCATCGGTAAGTTCTGTTCTCTGACCAAATGTATACCATGTACTAATTGTGCAAAAGGCCATCGATACCATTACAGATGTCAAGTTCAATCAGGTCGAAACCTCAATCCTAGCATCATGCGCCACAGACAGAGCAGTCATCCTATATGATGCACGCACAAACTCGCCTCTTCACCGCACTGTTCTTAACTTTGCCGCAAACTGCCTTTCCTGGAACCCAATGGAGGCTTACAACTTTGCTGTTGCCTCGGAAGATCACAATGGATACATTTTCGATATGCGAAACATGAAGCGGGCTCTGCAAGTTCTGGTAAGCCCTTTGTCCAACCTAACCTTCATCAGAAAGCATTCATTGACACTAAACAGAAAGGACATGTTGCGGCAGTCATGTCGATTGAGTTTTCGCCCACTGGCGAGGAACTCATCACTGGTAGCTATGACAAGACTATCCGATTATGGGAGCGCCAAAAAGGCCACTCTCGTGATACTTATCATACAAAGCGGATGCAGCGCGTCTTCTCCGTCGCCTGGAGTCCCGACAACAACTACGTCCTCAGTGGATCTGATGACGGCAATGTTCGCTTATGGCGCGCAAGGGCGTCCGAACGACGCGGCGTCAAGTCATTTGCCTTGCGACAAAAACTTCAATATGAAGAAGCACTCGTGGAGCGATACAAGCACATGCCAGAGATCAAGCGCATTCACAAGCACAGGCATCTTCCTAAGACGGTCAAGAAGGCTGGTGAGATCAAGAATGAGGAACTCAAGTCTCTTAAGAGGAAGGAAGAAAATGAAAGGAGACATACAAAGAAGGGCGAGGTCAGGCGGAGAGCTGAGCGTGAAAAGATGATCCTAGCGCGAGAGCAATAAGGTATCGAGAAGGCAATCGTATCACACTTTCTGCATAGCGTTGGCGTTTTGGTATTTTGCACGAGACTCGGGGGCCACATGATACCACATTGAATGCATACGGTATCTGAAAATAGATAAGAGTATATGGACAAATATGTTGGAATTTTGTATTGAATACTCAGATGCCTTTACCTAACGTGAATTTTAATACGAGGTCGCGTCAACCTACCCTAAGTACCCCGCTAAGGCACACCTGTGCACCAATGCGGCGATTGCAAACTTATCAACAAAATCACGGTATGCCACTACTCCTCTTAAAAAAAAATCAAGTCATACAAAACAATCTGATCAACAGCTCTACTGTCCTTAACTTCTCAAAAATGGGAAGCGAACACTTAAAAACTGCATCTTGGTGGTTCTTCGACTTAGACGATACTCTCCACGAATTCCGCAAAGCATCTTCCTCTGCCGTCGACGCAACATTACACCTCATCATCCAACAACAAAGCGCCCAGAACATCACACCACAAAAAGACGCCATCACATTCGCCGACCTAAAAGCAGCATACTCCAAAGTCCTCAAAGAAACCACATCCTCCGCCTTCACAGACGGTAAAACAAGCCACGAGTATCGCGCCGACCGCTTTAAAAGCACACTGAAAACTCTCAATCTCTCCCTTGTCCCAGAGCAAGTAACAGAAATACTCGACGTGTACGAAAAAACATTGATGCAACATCTAACCCTCAAACCCGGTACAATACCCCTACTCAAGTCACTCAAGCAACAAGGGAAACACGTAGCCATCGTTACCGAAGGCCCGCAAGATGCTCAGCAACGCACAGTTGCTGCGTTGGGCTTAGAACCGTATTTTGACCGTTTGATTACTACGAATGCGGTTGGGATGGCGAAGGTGGATGGGTTGTTTGAGAGGGCACTGCAGACGCTGGGGGTTGAGGGGAGGGAGGTGGTTATGGTGGGGGATAGTTGGGATAGAGATGTGGTGCCTGCGGGGAAAGCGGGGATAAGGTGTGTTTGGTATGCGGAGGGGAGTGGGGAGGAGGAGAGGATTGTTGAGTTTGGGGGGGAGGGGGAGGAGAGGGTCGTTGTTGTGGATTCGTTGGGGAATTTAAGGGGGATGGTTGAGAGAGAGAGCTGAGGAAGCAGAGTTATGTTGAACGCATTCTCATGTCTTGCTGCGTGTAAGTTGGAAAATGAGATAGGTTCGTGTGGTTTTGAAAGCGTGCTTGGTTGTATTGCTACGATATCGGCATCGGAGCCCAACTGATTTGCGAATGCTGACGGCAATCTTGAACGTACATAGCGCCTTTTACGTTCGAAAACATACGTTATCCTCAATGACTATTAATGACATTTGGCTCCGGCCTTTCTGAGTGGAGTTTCTGAGAGAAAAGAATTCTGAGATTGATTACAACTAGTAAGCAGCAACTACCGCGCACCCATCCTCCGCTCCACCAATCGACACCGTCACGCCCGCAACCCATCGATACCGTCACGCGTCGACACGAGCGACACG